CGAACCGGTCGTGGATTCTCGTCCGCCGTCGCGACAAACTTTGTGCGAAATGCGAGGAAGCGACAGTTCGAAAAAGCCTCTAAGAACCGCCGCGTAAACCACGTAATCCCCGCGCTCCGACGAGTCAGTTATACTAGGGAGTTTGATTGACAACCTAACAGCCAATAGAAAATGAGGGAGCCTCGTTTTCTATTGGCTGATGTTTATCTGGCCTCAACACGTCCACAGTTGATAGATTTTCGTTCTTTTTTTTTTGGTCATCATAATTACAAAGCTGCTGCGTCTCTGTTATTGTATTTTAATCTTTCACTGACAGTTTGAAACAAAAAAAAATCCTCCATACAACCTTTAATTTGACACACAAGAACATTTCAGATCATGTTTAACTTTACACAAAATAAGACAGAATATTTAGTAGTTTGCAGAGAAAACAATATCACTTCCCCAGTTGCAGTGTTTGCTATTTTCTAATTACAACCATTCAGATTTAGACTGAACTGTGATGAAAGTCCCGCCGCTCAGAGCTGCATGTGCTCCTCAGCTGCGCTCACAAACACGCAGACTCCACACCTGCTCGGGCTCAGGTGCGGCTCGGAGCAGATGTTTGGAGAAGAAAGAGACGACGCCAGCTCCTCCCGACGCTCCGCCGCAAAACACACACGCGGAGGAATGCGCAAAGTGGGACTAAACGCCTGAACTCCGCCCGCAGCCGCGTTTCAAACTGAGCTGCGAAACTGGACACAACCTGGACGACTAAAGAGTAAAGCGAGGGTCAATTTTAAAGCCCGCTGTGTAATTTTTCAGCCAGAAAATTCACCGACATGACAGGTTCTGCTCTGAAATGCATGAAATGAGTCTTCTCTTGAATGTTAATGCTGCAGGAGAGTTTTGACTGTGGAAAATGTTTCACAATTGCAATTTTTATCAGAAAACTGCAGATTTATTTATTTATTTTTTATTGTATTAATTAATTAATACTCACATTTCAAACTTGATTTGGACACTAAGGAATAGACTTGATGCTTAATACTGATTCTGAAAGCACAATGATAATTAAAAAAAAAAAAAAACTTTTTCTTTAGACAATAGAATGTGATTTTCAACATTAAGACGCCGTTTACACTGAAACAAATCTGCGTATCTTTTTATCGGAAACGATCTGTGTCCAGACATGTCGTTTTTGTGTCCGCAAGTCTTCCCTATCCACACAGCTTTGAGCACATTTGTTACATTTTACAGAAATGAAACTTAAAATCGCATGACTCATTTTCATAAACTGAGCACTAAAAAAAACAGCTCGTTCCTTGTGCTGCTGATGTGGTTCAGCTTCTGTCGTGACTCAGTGGAATATGAGTGTTGTTTCTGTGACAGAGGGGTGTTCTGCTGATGGTGAGTCTGTTCTGTGTTTCTGTCATGTTGGAGATGGTTCATGTTAAACTTTTCAGAGATTAAACGTCTGCAGGTCGACACACAGACACACGTTTATATGAATGGACAGATATTCTAAACCAGGGGTGTTCACACTTTTTCAGCCTGCGAGCTACTTACAAAATGACCAAGTCATAAAGATCTACCTAATACAAAGCCAAGCAAACTGCACTGAAACACTCTGTGCCCCTTTTTTGGACCCTCCCCCACAGTTTGAGAACCTCTTCTTTAAGAGAACTTCCTCTGGCACTTTACACAAAACTGTGAAAAAAGTGAAGGAAGATTTTTAAACCTGTTTTTTAAAGTTCCAAACTGGAGTTTCATTCTTTTCTGGTTTTGCAGTGATATTTACCAGCCTCTGCACGTTTACCAAACCAAACGCACATCGTGACAAACACAGATGCATTTGTCACTTTTGTTAGACAAACTTCAGCCAAATGTGGCAGTAGGTCTGTTCTGTAGATCCGCTCTATGCTGTAGACCTGCTTTGTGCCAACACTGGAACACAAATTTAGGTTTTTGCTTCACGTTTGGTCTTGCTCTTCTAATCAGCCGCACTGTGGGAGGGGCTTGTGTTCGCTGTACGCAGGAAGGAGCGAGAGCGTGAAAAGGCGAGGGGCGGCGTGCTGACGTGAGGCAGATGGACAGGTAGGATGTTTAGGAAGTTGAACCTGCCCTGTGATGCACGCTGGTACACGAGGGCACACGCTGTCGCAGACGAGCCGTGCATAGGGAGCGTGTGTGTTTGTGATGCGCCGTAGAGTCTCCGCGGGTTTCAAATGAGCGCACAGGCTGCACTGAGACGCCCCACACGCTCCTGCACCCGCTACAAGTTTATTACCAACAGCAGCGGCCGGAATGAAATATGATCACACTTGTTGAGTGTCAGACCTCGAGTGAGAGACAAGACCGAGTCCAAACGCGAGTCCGAGACGAGACACGGCGATCTACCCACACGACCTTGGCGATCGACTGGTAGATCGCGATCGACGTATTGAGCACCCCTGGTCTAGATTCTTAGTGTTTTGGCGGTGAATTACTTCGCAGTGCAAAGAACTACATCAGTGTTTTCAGGCGTCCACACGGTGCCGGATCAGATCTGTACTCAGGTGAATTCGTGGGAGTTGGAGGCACCAGATCGTTCCGTCTCTGGAGCCGTTTTCCATCGGATTAGTGTGAACGAACACTGCATCCACAACGAAAACGACGAATACGAACTAGTGTGGACGGGGCTTAAATGATAGTACTTTCTTTTCTATTCCCATGTGGTCTTATATCTGTGTGGTCCAGTGTAGGTTCCATAGTGCTCCATGTGCGTATACTCGTCTGTTTGCTCTTATATTTGTTCTGATCCTTCTAAAAATATTCAGGAAAGGTTCATTTCTGTCCTGTCAGTGGGACTTTTTTAGTATCTATACCTGTGAAAAATGAGGATCTAGTTTCGATACTAGGTTAAGTGCTAAGGAATGACACGAACACAAGCCTGTATGGACAAAAGATGCACATTTGCACTTTGAATCGTTGTAAAATTAATGTCGCTTAAAGTTTCACGGGCTGCGTTTGTGATTTGCCGTCGTAAGTGTTTGTCCGTGTGAACCAGCCCTGCAGATGAAGCACGACTCAGAACGGATCGCTCTCTTGGACTGAAACGGCCGCTTGATGTGGGTCCAAACCTGTTATGTGCTGCTATTGTGCGGTTCTGTGTTTTTTCATGTCAGGAGTCCCTCAAAGGCCTCTGCTAATTATGGGAAAGACACAGATACTGTTATTGTGCAATGTTAGCGCGGAGTGAGTCATAAATCTGTGCAGTTGTGTCTTATTACAGATTAGAGAAAGTGACTCATACTCTGTGGCTGACGTGTTTTTGTTTTTTTTTTCTGATTTGGTCATTTTGCCTGTGAATTCAGCCTTGAGACCTGGAGGGTTTGAGACCAGAATCCAGACTAAGTTCTTTGTATAGAACAGAACAAGAGGTGGTCTGGTATTCTGCCCAGACTCAGAGTGGTGCTGGCTCCTCGCCGCCCTGCCCCGGGGAACTGCCCACTTGTACATAAAAAAACAACAACACAAACTAGCTCCAAATGTGGTGTAATTCCGGTCTAAACCAGGTCTAAACCAGGTCTAAACCTGGTCGAAACGTGGTCTAAACCAGGGCTTAACGTGGACTAAACAAGGGTCTAAATAAGGTCTAAATTAGTGCTTAATGTGGTCTAAAACAAGTCTAAATGTGGTCTAAACCAGGTCTAAACAAGGCCTAAACCAGGTCTAAACTCAGTCTAAACATGATATAAAGCATGTCTAAATCTGGTCTAAACAAAGTCTAAACTTGGTCTAAACCAGATCTAAACCTGGTCTAAATCCGGTCTAAACCAGGTTTAAACAAGGTCTAAACATGGTCTAAACCAGGTCTAAACCAGGTCTTATCAAGTATAAGCAGTTCCAGTAAGCCAGCCTCAGATAAATTAATAAAATCTGAATTCAATCTGTAACTAAATCTGTCTTAAACTGGAACTAACTCAGGTCTTGGCCAAGACCTGTGTCTAAAACAGACCAAAACAGCACTAACAGACCAGGACCATGTTGTATTTTACCAAACTATTCTGTGACAGAACTCAGTTTGGTTAATTTATTTGACATTTGTAGTTAAAAACATGTGTAAAAGCGAGTGAGTAACACGCACTAAAAAAAAATCCACATTGTTACTCATCTTCAGTGGGGTTTGGTCGTTACTTCATTGGACGAAGACTTTATTTTTTCCAGCCTGAAGTAATCACAACTGCACAAAACAAACTAGCTCCAAACTTGGTCTAAACCCGGTCTAAACCAGGTCTAAACCAGGTCTAAACCAGGTCTAAACAGGTCTAAACAGGTCTAAACAGGTCTAAACCAGGTCTAAACCCGGTCTAAACCAGGTCTAAACCAGGTCTAAACCAGGTCTAAACCAGGTCTAAACCAGGTCTAAACATGGTCTAAACAGGTCTAAACCAGGTCTAAAACCAGGTCTAAACCAGGTTTAAACCAGGCCTAAACCAGGGCTAAATGTGGTCTAAACCAGGTCTAAATCCAGTAAATTTGGTCTAAACCAGGTCAAAACCTGGCCTAAACATGGTTTAAACCAGGTCTAAACATGTTCAAAATGTGGTCTAAACTAGAGCTAAACCAGGTCGAAACCCGGTCTAAACGTTGTCTAAACCAGGTCTAAACTTGGTCCAAACGTGGTTTAAACCAGGTCTAAATGTGGCCTAAACCAGGTCTAAACGTGGTCTAAACCAGGTCCTAACCCGGTCCAAGCCCGGTCTAAACATGGCCTAAACCAGGGCTAAACCAGGGCTTAACGTGGTCTAAAACAGGTTCTAAATAAGGTCTAAACCAGGTCTAAGCTATGTCTAAATGTGGTCTAAATTTGGTCTAAACCAGGTCTAAACATGTTTTTTTGTTTTTTGTTTTTTTACTGGACGAAGCCTTTGTTTTTCCCAGCAGCCTGAAGTGATCCCAACTGCACAAAACAAAGACAGTATCTGTTTGTGTGTGTATTATTTGACTGAAGCGTCCTTTGTCTGTGTGTTTTTCAGCTGGGTGGTGTTCGAGGAGCCCGGCTTCAGTGGAGAGAGTTTCCTCCTGGAGAAGGGCCAGTACGGAAACCCGGAGGACTGGGGGTCCAAGCGGCCCACCGTCGCCTCCGCCATGCCCGTGGTCCTGGTGAGTCCTGCGTGGGAAGACGTAATTTAACAAAAGCTCTGGGGGAAACTCAAACCAAACTGAACAGAACCAAACCAGCCCAGTGTGTGTGTGTCGTTCGTTCATTTGTTTTTCAAAATAAAACCAAAAATAATCAGATTTGGCTCCAAAACCAAAATGACGAAAACAGATCACGGCCGTTTCCCGTTTCTGTGACCTAAACTGTGATGTCGGACTTTTGCGCCGCATATGGACTAAACCAGGACTAAACCAGGACTAAACCAGGTCTAAACCACGGTCTAAACCAGGTCTAAAGCAGGACTAAACTAGGACTACACCAGGACTGAACCAGGACTGAACCAAGACTAAACCAGGACTAAAACAGGGCTAAAATAGGACTAAACCGGGTTTAAACCAGGACCAAACCAGGACTACACCAGGACTAAAACAGGACTAAACTAGGACTGAACCAGGACTGAACTAGGACTAAACCAGGATTAAACCAGGATTAAAACCAGGACTGAATCAGAACTAAACCAGGTCTAGACCAGGACTAGAACAGGACTAAACCAAGTCTAAACCTGGACTAAACCAGGACTAAACCAGGATTAAAACAGGACTAAAACAGGACTAAACCAGTTCTTAAAAAATGACTAGACCAGGTCTAGACCAGGACTAAAACAGGACTAAACCAGGTCTGAACCAGGTCTTAAACAGGACTAAAACAGGTCTAAAACAGGTCTAAACCAGGACTAAAACAGGACTAAAACAGGACTAAACCAGGACTAAAACAGGACTAAAACAGGTCTAAACCAGGTCTAAAACAGGACTAAAACAGGACTAAACTAGGACTAAACCTGGACTAAACCAGGATTTAAACAGGGCTAAAACAGGACTAAACCAGGTCTAAAAAAGGACTAGGCCAGGAAAAAAACAGGTCTAAACTAGGACTAAACCAGGTCTAAACCAGGTCTAAACCAGGACTAAACCAGGACTAAACCAGGTCTAAACCAGGACTAAACCAGGACTGAACCAGTTCTAAAACAGATCTAAACCAGGACTAAAGCAAGACTAAACGTGGTCTAAATATGGTCTAAACCAGGTCTAAACTAGGACTACACCAGTACTGAACCAGGACTAAACCAGGACTCAAACAAACAAAAAGAACAAATGTAATTGAATAATAAATGAACTAAAATGTGTGCACCCAAATTAGTCTAAATAAAGGAATTAAATTAAATCATCTGCACTGAAATAAACTTAATAAAAACATAAATTAAATGAAACAATAATGACACTGTGGAGCTTTGGCAGAAGGATCCACCACAATAAGGAATCAATTTGGAATCACTTTGGAATTATTTTGGAATCACTGCAAACTGTTAAAAATGAAGTTGCAGTTGTGTTTTTTCTCATGCTCAAACCCGCGCTGCCCTTCACCCTGAGAACAGTGGAGCAGATTTGGAGCAGATTTGTCATGAGACTCAGAGGTTCAGCGTGAGTCATCGGCGCATGAGTTTGTTTAGAGCCTTTTCACGACAACCGGAGGAAGAACGAGCGCCGCGTGCCCTCGCAAAACATCAACGTCCACGTACAAGGGCCAAGAGTTCATGAATTATCTTATTACGGCTGCTTATTAATCTGCTAAACTCACAGAGCGCGGGTAAAAAAATAAAAGTAAAAGGCTCAGGGAGTGTGCAGTCACAGGGATGGGCAATTAGTTTTTCCATTTGGCCACATGAGAAACAGAAAATATTGTAGACGACCAAAATGCTTCACTCAATTCTGCAAAATATTAATTGTTTTTCTTTATAAAAAGCAGTAAATATCATTGTTTTGACGAGCGGGGAAGAGTTTTTTTTATAACTAAGGAATGAAAAAGTGAGGTTGCCTTCTCTTGCAACCCACCTTTGGGAAACAGTGTTTTTTATCTGTTCTGTTATGAATGTTATTTTGTCAATAATATATGTGTGTGTATAATTAGTGCTGTCATACGATTAAAAAAATTGAGAGATTAATTAATTATGATCTGTAATTAATTAATCTAATTAATCTCATTTTAATCTCACCTAAAAATTGCTGAGAAAAGCTTCAATTTGAGGTATTTTCATTTAAATTCATTATTACATTATTGTGGCAGATCAAAAGACTGATATAGATTAAAAAAAAGTGACTTTATAAAGTCATTTATTGTTTAACAAATCTCTCCAAATTGGCTGTTGAGCCCAAGTCTCCATGAATAAGAAACTGTTTGCTGTAAAGTAGCAAAGACGAGGAAATCTGAACATAATAACTTTTGTCGACTTAAAGACAATAAAAAGTCCAGTCTTTCCTTAACCATATTAAAAATATTATTGATAGAGAATTGTTATTATTATTGTTATTTTCTTTTATATTTCACGTCGGGAGAAGAATTTCCAAGACACGAATGTGTTTTTCCCTGTGCACTGCTGCTCTGTTCTACTGCCTCTTCGACCTCGTCCATTGTGCGACTGACGCCGTAACGTTAACGTTTACATCGCTCTTACTGCGCGCGTTCTGTGTGGGTTTCCGACAATGAGTGGAATTGCCGAAATTAAAAAATGTATAAATGTGTTTTTTGTGTGTGTGTGTGTGTTGTTGTCCCAACAACACATAAAAACAGGTTTTATAATAAAGCAACTCACATACAGAAACACTAAAGTTAGAGATTAAAAATGAGATTAACGCGATTAAAAAACATAACGCGCTAAATATGACTGTAATTAATTAATCGCAATTAACGCGATAATTTGACACCCCTATATATAATATATATGTGTTATGAATATATGTTCATTTATATTTATCGTCACCGTCTAAACTAAAGCCACTTTCCGATAAAATATTTTGTCGTTTTTACCCACAGATGTTCTCATGTAAACAGGCCCTAAGTAGTTAAAACACGTTGGCGTGACTTTTAATGAATATAACACAAATCCGAGTACTTCTGTAGTTTTCTTTCTACTCAACAAGAACTGAAGCCCTGGGACCTGGGAGCTGTACTGTGCCCACGTCTGGGTCAGGGTGTGTGCAGTTATTAATAGATTATAAGACTGTGAAGGGTTTAACGACTTTAAGTGACTTAAATGTTCTGTTGGTGTTTCACTCGTGGTCAAACTTGGACTCTTATTTATTTATGTCCAATGGTGGATGTTTGTGTGGTGCTTATGTTACTCTGTTGTCTTGTTTTTGTGTTAAATCATCTGACCTATTGTGCAACATTTGGCCCAGTGTCAGAAATTCAACTTGTACCCAATTTTAAAATGTGACAAAACCAATTAAAGGTTGTATAGAGGATTTTTTAAGGGAGGTGAAATACAGCGACAGTTCTTTTTCAAATGTTGTGCATGTGTGACACCACCTTCCTCAGTAGAAACACCTCCTCCTCCCGCCTCTTTACTCTAGAAATCACATTTGTTTACATCCAGTGCGTGTTCAGAATTACTGTTGAAGTGACCTGCCTAGAAATATTTCAGCGACCGACGTGTCAGTTTTTAGACCCTTCGGACTTTCTTTTGCGGCGAACTTGTCGTGGATTCTCGTCCGCCGTCGCAACAAACTTTGTGCAAATTGCGAGGAAGCTACAGTTTGAAAAAGCCTCTAAGAACCGCTGCATAAACCACGTAATCCCCGAGCGCACAAAAAATCGTTATACAAAAATTGTAGGGAGTTTTTTTTGACAGCCAATAGATAAAGAGGGAGCCTCGTTTTCTATTGGCTGATGTTTATCTGGCCTCACTACGTCCACAGTTGATAGATTTTCATTCTTTTTTTTTTTTCGGTCATCATAATTACAAAGCTGCTGCGTCTCTGTAATGGTATTTTAAACTTTCAATGACAATTTGAAACTAAAAAAAAAAATCCTCCATACAACCTTTAAAAGAAAAACTGGAATATTTGCTCCATTTAATAAAATCTACTAGATCCACCAAGACTCACCACCAAGTTCCATCCTAATGGCTTCCATAAAGCTCTGGCAGAAAAATCTGTTTTTCTCAAATAACTTTAAAAATAATGATTTTTATATATATTATAATTATTATTAATTATTATTTTTTAAATAATATTGCTTATTCAAGGTCTTTGAAGTCCCAAAGAAATGACACTTTTGCCATATCTCAGAAACTCATGATGATCGAGACATAAAACTGGCACCAAATGATTCACAATGTTCATATTTATACTCAACTTCCATTGATACTACTGGGATAAATTAATTATTTCTGATCTTATTAAAGAAAAACAGATTTTTCAGTTCAGATTTAAGACTTCTGCAGACACTAAACTTCAGAGACTTGTTGGACCCAGTAAACATCAATAGAATTTCATGACTTTGGCAAGTGTAAAAACTTGATAATAGATCCAGATTGATTTTCAAAAGATTTTCAAAAAGTTGGACAAATGATACTCCCTAATGTGACCCCCTGTCCCAAGACAAATTTCTCCCAGCTACAAAGGATTATATTATCTTAAATTATCTTAAAGAGGGACTATTTCACTGTAAACACATTTAGATCACCAGGTTACCTTTTATTGTTTTAAAAATGCTATATTCTCCTAAAACAGCGTGTTATCCAGTTTCACTTTTGTTTTTGTCGCTCTGAGTCCTTGTTTCGTATCTTAAAAATGTGAAAAACAGAACTGGTTTGCTTGAAATAGTTTGATCCAAATTTATTCCTCACGTATAGATTCTTTTTCCTCACCTTGTCCATTCTGAGCGGTCGGCAACAATTAACATGCCAGTAACGCACTTCCTGATTATCGGACAATAAATCACTTTATAATGAGATGCAGACGGCGGACGGCACAGTGGACTTATTTTGATCTCCAGAGCTGCTTTTACAATTTATCTGCACTGGAGCAAGACACATTTTGCTCAAAAACATGAAAATAAATGTGGCACAGGCTTTTAATTGTTTTGGATCAATATTATCTAATGCTATAGATTAAAAAAGCTTACATTTTGTGTTTTATGTTCAGCCAAACTTTTCTTGTTCGTTCTGTTTCCACTTCTGAATCATTTCTAAACCTGACCTCTCGACCCGCAGTAGTCGAGTCATTAAATCAAATATTATTCTGAACGAGACACGCCGAGGAAGTTCAGACGCTGGCCTTGCTGCGGGACAAATGATTCTGCGTTTCTTTACTGAAATATTGTGTAAAATGTTGTATTTATTTAATGATAAAGTCTGTGAAATGTGGTTTTAAGTGTGTGCAGACTGTGATTCAGAGGTTATGTCATAGTGAAAGGACATTGCAGAGTTATGTCCGTAAATATGCAAACTTTAAAGCTTGAAAGGCTGAACTCATTTAATTATTTACTCGTCACGTTTTTACACATTAAAGTAGACGTTAGTACAAATATATTAGTACACATTAGATATATATATAATAGTTATTGTGATCCACATCTTGTGCCGTTACTGTACGTTAAAGCCGCGAGGTCTTAAAAGTCTTAAAAAGGTCTTTAAATTTCACGTTCCTAAATTAAAGGTTCAAACTCCCTACGTTTCTAGTGTAACTGACTTGCCTGCGCTGCCGTTACGTGGTTTACGTACGACTGTCACACAGTCCACAGACGCAAGACGCACAGACGCTGTTTACTCCACCAACACAACAGTTCTTAGCGGCTTTTTTTGACCTATATCTTCCTCGCAGTTCGCACAAAGTTTGTTGCAATGGCGACAAGAATCCAGGAGCAGTTCGCCACAAAAGAAAGTCCGTTTTTGAGGTCGCTGAAAGAAGAAGACAAGGGGAAAAGCAGCGAAGCTAAACTAAGGTGATTCTTGAAGATTCATTCCAGCGATGGCGCGACTGAAGCAGACGAAGGGTCTAAAGACTGAACCACTGGTCCACAAATTACTCCTGGACAGGAAACTTCTGCTTATTATGAAAACGTACTTTATTTCCAAGAGCGAGACAAACGTTTTTCAGGACACGAAAGCGATATCCTATGTCTGAAAACGTAATTTTCAAGGCAAAGAAAGAGTCCACTTGCTGCTGCGTGTTGTAGTTAGTTCATTCGCACGGAATCTCCGCGCAACCTTCTCTGCTCCCCTTTCCTGCTCCTCTCTCCCTGCTCCTCACTTCTCCGGGCACGGAATCTCCGCGCACCCGCTCCCCTCTCCTCTCTCCTCTCCTCTCCTCTCCTCTCTCCTCTCCTCTCTCCCTGCTCCTCACTTCTCCGTCTTGCCTAACCAACACTGTAGTTAGTTGTTTACAAGTCATGTGCAGCACCGGCTGTAAACAAACCTGTTTCTGGCGTAAGGAGGAGGAGGGAGGAGGTGTTTCTACGTAGGAGCTGTAGGGGAGGGGAGGTGGTTTCACGCATGCGCAACATTTGAAAAAGGACAAACAGTCGCTGGATTTCTCGTTCCTTGGAAAATCCTCTATACAACCTTTAAGGCCTTAAAAAAGTCTTAAATTATGTTATGTAGCCTGTTTTTTGTGTTCTCAACCAGGCTGCATTGCAATGTTCAACGGAGGGAGGAAAAAAAAAAGACGACGTGAAATCGTGTAACGTGAATGAACATTTAATTTGGAGTATGCACAAACAATATTTAGTTTGTCTTTTTAGAATGTTATAAGTGATTTTTTGGCCGTTTTACAAGCAGTACGTCCGACTATAAATGAGTTCTGAATGAGATTTTATAATCCAAGTAATTTGTGGTAATTTAAAGCAGTGAGTAATTGTCATTATTAGAATTTAATCTGGAATTTTTCGCTCGCATAATGGGTGCGATGTTGGTCTTAATTTTCATTTAAGTCGTCTTAAAAAGGTCTTTAAAAAGGCTTAAATTTGGGGTAGTTAAACCTGGGGAAACCCTGATCAGGCGTCGGCTGCGATTCGGCCCGTGGAGCGTGGAGTTCTGCGTCGGTCCTTTCGCCCGCGGTCACTCGACGGTCTACGCGGGCGCACCTCCGGGCCCGTCCCGATACTCGGTACCGTAACGATGCTGTTTCACCGCTGCTGATATCACGGTGATTTTATATGATTTTTAAATGAAGAAAAACAAAAAACCCAACGCTTCAATCCAGGTTAAAAATCTTTGTAACACGCGTTAATGACATTTGTACTGAGTAAAATCTTAACATTTTTTTTCCCGGTAATGCCTAGGGATGTAACAATAACCAAAATATCGTGATGTCGTGTCGTCAAAGTTCTCACAATAACATCGTGGACCATCACAATATATCGAATTACAAGTTTCTTTGCTTAAATTAACAGTTCTGGTGCAGCAAGAGCTAAAAAACTACATAGACCATGATCCTTTGCTCCATTTCAGTGCAGACTACATGAAGAAATAACAGTTCTAACACTTTTAAGTCTTAGTTCTTTGGATTAAGTGAAAAAATAGTATATTAACAGTTTTAGCTGTTTAGTCTGCACAAATATCGGAATAAATATCGTACCGTGAGATTTGGATTTGGATTACTACATTACAGCAAAAAACTCCCAAGTCCTTGATGTAAAAAAAATAAAAATTTGAGGGCCTTGAATGTAGAAAAGCGGAATATTAAAGTGCGATGGAAAATATTATCTCACCGTTTCTTTTCTTCTATAAAAAGCGTTTGGGTTTTTAATCACAGAACATTCACTCTCTCTCTCTCTCTGCTTTCGTCTACAGGAAAATTTCGAGACCACGGCTAAGTTCAAGGTTTGTTTTTTATTGTTCTTTTAAACTCTGATTATCCTCTGACTCACAGGCTCCGTTTGTTGTTCATCCTCCGTGTTTTTGCGTTGCCGTGATCAGGTGCAGCTGTTCCCGGAGGCGGACTTCCGAGGCTCGGCCCTGGTCCTGGAGGACAGTGAAGGTTCTCTGCCCCCCGGCTTCTCTGTGGGCTCCTGCAAAGTCCTGGCTGGAAGGTGGGTGCAGGTTCTGTGGGTGAGGATCAGGGTTATTGGGTTTACAGTCCAGGTTCTAGAGTCCAGGTTTTAGAGTCCAGGTTCTAGAGTCCAGGTTTTAGAGTCTGGGTTTTAGTGTCCAGGTTTGAGTTCCATTTTAAAGTCCAGGTTTCAGACTCCGGGTTTTCGGGTCCAGGTTTTATAGTTCAGGTTTTAAAAGTCCAGAGTTTTTCAGAGTCTCCAGGTTTGAGAGTCCAGGTTTCAGACTCCAGGTTTGAGAGTCCAGGTTTCAGACTCCAGGTTTGAGAGTCCAGGTTTTACAGTCTGGGTTTTAGTGTCCGGGTTTTAGAGTCCAGGTTTTATTGTCCAAGATTTCGAGTTCAGGTTTTCGAGTCCAGGCTTTAGTGTCCAGGTTTTAGAGTCTGGGTTTTAGAGTCTAGGTTTGAGTTCCGTTTTAGAGTCCAGGTTTCAGACTCCGGGTTTGAGAGTCCAGGTTTGTTTTAGAGTCCAGGTTTTAGTTGTCCAGGTTTTAGAGTTTCGAGTTCAGGTTTTCGAGTCCAGGTTTTAGAGTCTGGGTTTTAGAGTCCAGGTCTGAGTTCAGTTTTAGAGTCCAGGTTTCAGAGTCCAGGTTTAGAGTCCAGGTTTTAGAGTCCAGGTTTTCAAGTCCAACATTTAGAGTCCAAATTTGAGTTCCGTTTTAGAGTCCAGGTTTCAGAGTCCAGCTTTTCGAGTCCAGGCTTTAGAGTCCAAGATTTCAAGTTCAGGTTTTAGTGTCGAGGTTTTCGAGTCCAGGTTTGAGTCTTGAGTCCAGGTTTTTTTTTCAAACCACCAGCCTCCGGATCAGAGGGCAAACTCTGATTATAAGGAGACATATTATGAACAATCACTTTTAAAGCAGACCTATTCTCCAAAATTTACTTTTTAGAGCTTTTAACCATGTTACATTTGTCTCCCTTCTCATTTACTTTTTGAAGTTGTGCTCAAAGTGATTCATGCATGTTTAGTCTTTATTCTCCTGTATTCAAGACGTCATTGCTCCGATCTAACCGTTTTCGTCACCACCGGTGGTACACACTTCGCATTTCAATTTTATTCTCTGAATCTGTGATACACACAGGATTTGGCAGTCACATAATCATTTTTGTACAATTGAATAAAAAAGCTCTGCTCTAGTGTGAGGTGCTTTTTGGGTGACTAGACGTTTTTCTCAGATATGTCCTCCTTTTGGGACCCAAAAAACTGTCCAGGAGGAATTTTTAAATGATCCCAGAATGTCCAGGATTTTGACTCTTTCAGTTGACAGCTTTGAGTGGAACAAATTTCTTAGGCTGCGTTCAGACTGCAGCCTGAAGTGACCCAAATCAGATTTTTTGGCCCCTATGTTCCTGTATCTGATCTTTTAATGACAGTCTGAACCACACAGATCCGATTTTTTCAAATGTGACCCAGGACACTTGGATATGTGCTCCTGAAACTGATACATATCTGATCTTTTGACATGTGACTTCAGTCTGAACGGCCAAAGTGCATTCATCCACCTACACGTTATCAACAAGACACAAACGTCACTATTCTGCGCTGAAGTCGGTGAAAATTGTTAATGAACTCTGTGTCACTGAAGTGAAGCACATCACCACTCACCACTCTTGGCTCCGTCTCCACATCCACACGTTCCTTTCAACGGACTGTCCCACAAAACACCACGACCAAAAACCTCGTCCTTCTCCTTCTCAATCTCCTCCTTAAAACAAGTAAGTTGTTCATGTTCTGGCTCCGGTACGAGAGGAACTTTAAAATCTCCAGGTGCTCGATGCTGCGTCCATGTTTGGACAACTTCCGTAAACACAGAGACGCTCGCTGCGGTTGACGTCGTCGTGTCTCCAGTGTCACATGTGGGACACTTTTGGGCCGTTTAATGTTCACACTGGAGTCACATACAAGTCACATTTTACTGGAAATGTGAACGACCTCGCAAAAACATCGGATTTCACAAAAAAATCGGAATTGAGCGTTAAGCCCTGCAGTCTGAACGTAGCCATAGTTTTGGTCTTTGCTCATCTAAAAAGATGTTATTATATTTCCACGGACACAATCACCAGCGCTTCTCCCGCACTGTGTGTCTAAACTCCGTCTTCCCCCTCCTCACTCCTGTGCACTCACAGTGAGGGGACAGACCACTATTGATCAGAAAATATACCTATATTTATTAAACGCATTATTACGAAGGCATTATCTACTGTGGAGAGAATGGATGATCATAACACAGTTCTTCACGTCTCAAACTCTACACCACTTTTAATGTGATGAAAATTGACCTCATATTAGTGGAGCTGCGTTCATAAATCTCAGCTGAAAAAGTCTGTAGCGTCGTGAACTCAGGCGCACATAACCACAGCGTTACCCTCAGCAACAGTCCCCATTTTGACCAATTTGTTACCCAAGAATAAAGAGAGACAGAAACTGTCATTTGTTTAGGTAAAATACAGAAAAGCTGCTTAAAAATGACCAAAACACAAAGAAAATATGACTATACTGACTCACATGTTTGTCATGAATGCGTAATTTTCCATAATTGCACACTCCTTTCACAATTTTATTATTACCAACCACCACAAAGCGGAAACCCAGTTTTTGATTTTTAAAATTTGGTCGTATTTAATCTATGACGCCTGTAGATCATTATGTTATTTTTTGCACATTTTAAAAAGGCTATATTGATCTAAAACCACTGAATAAAAATAGAAGTTTGTTGACTTCTGCTGTGGTCCAAACCAGGACCAAACCAGGACTAATCTTGGACTTGAGAGTGAGAGGGAGAACCCCGAGCCCGTGGAGCAGGTGTTTGCAAAGTGCGATTGCCCCGTGGGGCTTGAAGCTCTGCGTCTGTCCTTTCTCCTGCGGTCACCAGACAGTCTACATGTCCCGAGTCCCAAGTGTCCCTTCCCGACACTCAGTCCTGGTTCATTTCTGGTTTAGACCTGGTTTAGTTCTGGTTTATCCCCAGTTTAGCCCTGGTTTAGTCCTAGTTCAGTCCTGGTCCCTCAGGTCACTATAGCACAGTGGAAAAGTGAAAGCGTGTACGTCACAGCGGCTGTGCACTGCTGTTGGTGAAAACGGGCAGAGCGATGAAACAGAGTAAAGGCGTCTTGAATACAGGAGAATAAAAATAACTCTGAAGACAACACAACGACTTCTCCGGTGCGTCTAAACCAGGGGTGTCAAACTCATTTGGTCCGGGGGCCGTATCCAACCGACTTTGATCCCAAAGGGGCCGGATCAGAAAACTCATGTCATATAAACCCCAACAATAATAATAAGTTTAAATATTTGTGCAGAGAAACACAAATCTATTACAGATTTACAGACTTTTTTAATTGATGAACTCTTTCTTTTACAAAATATTATAATATTATGAACATCCTGAAATTTAAGAAAAATACAATTTCAACACAATGTTTTAACATGAACTTGTATAAAATTAACTTGTAGAAATAGGAATAAGTAAATTTTTGTTGTAAAATCCTGCACTCGGCTCCACTTTTCTCATGTTGGACATTTTTCTGATGAGGGTGTCACGGTCAACAGTCAAAACGATCGTCCTTTAAGAGCGTTTGGAAAGAGACAAGTCTTCATTTGTGCTGCTCTGGTGGGAGGGGCCACGTACAGAGACGCTGGAGACGCTGCTGTGATAAACACCACAGAAAATTAACAAGATTTTAATAGAAAATATAATTAAAATATTTTAGTAGAAAATCAGCCGAGGGCCAGATTAAAGGTCTTGGAGGGCCGGATCTGGCCCCCGGGCCGCATGTTTGACACCTGTGGTCTAAACTATAGTGAACGTTCCACTTCTTCATGATCACTTGGACTTGGACACTAATCCCCGACCAGCTGCTGTATTAGATAAAACCTCTGATTATCTTCCTCTCTGTACGTTCACTCTGAGGTTTAAGTGGATTGAATCACCAGTCTGTGCGCTGTTCTTTCTGTTTCTGCATTTATATTCTAGGATCTGATGATGTCGTAGTTTCAGGCGGAGGGCGGGGGGATTTACTGTTTTTGAAAGAAATTTTTGAAAGAAACGTCTGATCCACAAACGTTTCTCCGTCTCGTTATTTGTTCGGGGATCGGCTCCACAATTTGTCAAATTAATCTGACGGCTGGAAGTCCTTGGGTGATCACTGCCAGCTGTTTTTGAAGATTTTGCGGGAAGAAATTAACTCGAGTTCATTTGTTCTGACAGAGAAAACGTTCAGCTTTGTGCCCGTTTATATTTTGTTTCGTATGGATAGGCCCAGTGATTAATAATAAGAGAAAAATAAAGGGTGCACGGTGTAATTTTTGTGCTGGAGGGTCACCTACCGCTTTGTTTCCATGGAGATTTTATTGCGGTCCCTGGAATGTGGGTGTAAAATCATTCCGTGTATCATTTCTATTCATTTTTCAACTATTTTTTTCATTATTTGTGTCCAAAATCAAAATGAAAAAAAACAGATAACGATCCATTTTTTCAGTTTTCGAAAAATGGAAAAAACTGATAACGGTCGTCTCCCGTTTTCGTGACTTGAACTGCGATGCCGGAGTTTTGCGCCGCGTACGGACTAAACCAGGACTAAAACGGGACTAAACCAGGACTGAACCAGGTCTAAACCGGTCTCAGTTTTGATCACCCAACAATCTACACATGCGCACCTCCGGGCCCGTCCCCACACTCCTGATTCTGTCCTGGTTTAGTCCTGGTTCAGATCTGGTTTAGTCCTGGTTTAGTGCTAGTTTATGACTGAGACCAGGACCAGACCAGGACTGAGACTGGTTTAGACCCGGTTTAGACCTTGTTTAGTCCTGGTTTAGACCTGTTTTAGTCCTGGTTTAGTCCTGGTTTTGTCCTGGTTTAGACCTTGTTTAGTCCTGGTTTAGACCTTGTTTAGTCCTGGTTTAGACCTTGTTTAGTCCTGGTTTAGACCTTGTTTAGTCCTGGTTTTAGACCTGTTTTAGTCCTGGTTTAGACCTGTTTTAGTCCTGGTTTAGACCTGTTTTAGTCCTGGTTTAGACCTTGTTTAGTCCTGGTTTAGACCTTGTTTAGTCCTGGTTTAGACCTGTTTTAGTCTTGGTTTAGACCTTGTTTAGTCCTGGTTTAGACCTGTTTTAGTCTTGGTTTAGACCTGGTTTAGTCCTGGTTTAGACCTGGTTTAGTCCTGGTTTAGACCTGGTTTAGTCCTGGTTTAGTCTTGGTTTAGACCTTGTTTAGTCCTGGTTTAGTCCTGGTTTAGACCTTGTTTAGTCCTGGTTTAGACCTGGTTTAGTCCTGGTTTAACCTTGTTTTAGTCCTGGTTTAGACCTGGTTTAGTCCTGGTTTAGACCTGGTTTAGTCCTGGTTTAGACCTTGTTTAGTCCTGGTTTAGACCTTGTTTTAGTCCTGGTTTAGACTTTGTTTAGTCCTGGTTTAGTCCTGGTTTAGACCTGGTTTAGACCTGGTTTAGTCCTGGTTTAGTCCTGGTTTAGACCTGGTTTAGACCTGGTTTAGTCCTGGTTTAGTCCTGGTTTAGTCCCATCTGAATAAATCCAACAAAAACACTCAATAGCAATAACATCTCCATGACATTCTTATTTTAACCTGATCTGTTCCTGAAATGTTCCAGTGCAGGGCTTTAAACGCAGCTGTAACTGAGTAAAAATCCAACACAGATCCCTTTTTTGCTTTCAGCTGGTTGGCGTTCGAGGGGCAGGAGTTCTCCGGGAGGATGTACGTGCTGGACGAGGGCAGTTACCCCGACCTGAGGGCCATGGGCTGCGTGCACGCCAGCGCCACCATCCTGTCACTGCAGGTGGTCGGGTTTGTAAGTGTCAAGTTTATTTGTTTTGTGGAAAAGGAGTTATTAAAGCCCTGTGATCATTCGTTCGTTTGTTTTTCAAAATAAAAGCAGAAATAAGAAAATGGAAAAAATAACAGTTTTCTTTATTATTTGACTCCAAAATCAAAATGAAAAACCAGATAATGATTCGTTTTTTCAGTTTTTGATTTTGTGTTTAAATGAAAAATGGAAAAAAAAAAAAAAAACGGATAATGGACATTTCCCGTTTCTGTGACTTAAACTGCGATGCCAAACTGAACCAGGACTAAACCAGGACTAAAACCAGGACTAAACCAGGACCGAACCAGGACTAAAACAGGTCTAAAGCAGGACTAAGCCAGGACTAAACCAGAACAAAACCAGGACTCAACCGGGACAAAACGAGGACTAACTCAGGATTGAAACAGGACTAAACCAGGACTAAACCAGGATTCAACCAGGACCCAACCAGGACTAAGGCAGGACTAAACTAGGACTCAACCAGGACTCAACTAGGATTGAAACAGGTCTAAACCAGGATTACACCAGGACTAAATCAGTCTCAGTCCTGGTCTCTGTCCTGATCTGGTCCCAGTCTAGTCTCGATCTCAGTCCTGGTCTGGTCCCCGTCTCAGCCTCGGTCACAGCCCTGGTCTCAGTCTCGGTCAGGTCTCGGTCTCAGTCCCGGTCTGGTCCTGGTCTCAGTCTAGTCGGTCTGGTCCTAGACTGAGACCAAGAATGAGACCAGTTTAGTCCTGGTTTAGACCTGGTTTAGTCCTGGTTTAGACCTGGTTTAGTCCTGTATTAGTCTTGTATTAGTCCTGTTTTAGTCCTGGTTCAGTTCGGCATCACAGTTTAAATCACAGGAACATTATCCGATTTTTTTTTTTTTTTAATCACTTAAACACAAAATCAAAAAATTAAAAAAGACAAATAATGAAGAAAATTGTTGTTTTTTCATTTTCTTATTTTTGGTTTTATTTTGAAAAACAAATGAACAAATGACACAGATTTTATTAGACTGTGTTCATACTTGTACAGGTTTGGTCCTGGTTTAGGCCCAGTTTTCCTAATGTAGATTTTATTTGGTCCTGTTCTAGACCTGGTTTAGTCCTGGTTTAGTCCTGGTCTAGTGTCTGTTAAAGTGTGAATGCAATATTAAGTTTAAAAGTGTTAGAACTGTTATTTCTTCTTGTAGTTTCCACCAAAACAGAGCAAAGGATCATGGTCTATGTAGTTCCTTCTGTTTTTTTAGCTGTTGCTGCACCATAACAACGAATTTAGGCGAAGAAATTTGTGATTCGATATATTGTGATGGTCCACGAGACTTTTGACGATACGATATCACGATATTTTGGTTATTGTTACATCCCTAGTAGTTACAAATTACCAAGGAAGTTTCAAGACCAAACCAGGGCCAAATCTGAACTCGCCCAAAATATGAACTTAACGTCAAATCCTGCAGCTAAGTCAGTCCTAACCAAACACAGAGCACAAATTTCCCGATGGGGACAAGTGCACCTGAAGTGTACCTAAATCAAGTCTCAACCTGAACTAAAGCAGCACTGACGTAACACAGAACTATGTCCTGTCAATCATCATGTCATTGTTTACATTTATATAATTAGGTCTTATTTCACACCTGTTTTTTGCTCTTTTTTGCTATTTATTTAGAATTTATTATCGCCTTTTATATTTTTATTGCTCTTTGTTATTATATTTATTGTGACGTGTGAGCTCCTTGTGGATCAGTAGAGTTTGTCGAAGTCTAACCAGGGCTAAACCAGCTCCAAACGTGGGTCAAGTTCACCTTAAACCAGGCTTAAAATCAGGTTTAAATCAAGACTAAATCTGGACCAAGAACCCAGATCCAGAACCAAACCGAGATTTAAAGGTTGTATAGAGGATTTTTTAAGGGAAGAGAAATACAGCGACCGTCCTTTTTCAATTTTTTTAGATGTTTCTCCCTCAGTAGAAACATCTCCTCCCGCCGCTTTACTCTAGAGTCACACGTGTTTACATCCGTACGTGTTCAGAATTACTGTTGAAGTTTCCTGTCTAGAAATATTTTATCGACCGACGCGTCAGTTTTTAGACCCTTCGTCTGTTTCAGTCGCGCCGTTGCTGGAAGGAATCTCCAAGAATCACCTCAGTTTGTCTTCGATGCTTTTCCTCTTCTCTTCTTCTTTCAGCGACCCCAAAAACCGACTTTCTTTTGCGGTGAACTGGTCGTGGATTCTCGTCCACCGTCGCGACAAACTTTGTGCAAATTGAAAAAGCCTCTAAGAACCGCTGCTTAAACCACATAATCCCGTCAGTTACAATAGAAACCTAGGGAGTTTGATTGACAACCTAACAGCCAATAGAAAATGAGGCAGCCTTGTTTTCTATTGGCTGAAGTTTATCTGGCCTCAACACGTCCACAGTTGATGGATTTTCATTCTTTTTTTTTTTTGGTCATCATAATTCCAAAGCTGCTGCGTCTCTGTAATGGTATTTTAAACTTTCACTGACAATTTGAAACAAAAAAAAAAATCCTCCGTACAACCTTTAACCAGAACTAAAAAAAAAACAATATTCAGTCTGAAAGTTAAACAGCAAATTTCACCTGAGAGCTCTGACTTTTGTTTCGTTCACACATGTTTGAGTAATCCTGCGTTATGAGTCTGTCTCTGATCTATCTGTTCCACCTTGTGATGTCACGAAGTGGTAGTTTTCCTATGATTCTAGTGACGGTGTGATGGAGTAGAGCTGATTGATTATGGGAAAAAAAAAATCATTATCAGGATTATTTTGGTGAATATTGAAATCACCATTATTCAGACGATTCTTTTTTAGTTACACGATGCATTTATTCTCCGTTTATCAAAAAAAAAAACTTTGTTAGTGATAATTTAAGCAAAATTTTCAAATTGAAAATAGAGGCTGTAAATATAGCAAAATAAATATGAACCTTAGAGCAGTTTTGCGATGTATAAAACTAAATAAATATAAAATAAAATCACACTGAAGACTGATCAAGGTCGTATATACAATTCTGTTAACAAAATATCGCAATAAATATCGTACTGTGACCGTGATAATACCGTAAGATTTGGATATTGTTACATCCCTAGAAACAACATTAGAGCATAAATCAGAAAACAGCGTAACTTGGGCTCTTTAAAGCAGGTTTTGTTTTTCAAAATACCTCTGTGACTCATGTCCAAAATATAAGTTCTGTATCTGTGACAGCTTCAGAAAATACAAGGTCTTCGTGTGAACTCTGACCCTGTAAAATCATCCGAACCCAGCTGCAGCCTGAAAACACACAGGCCTGAAACAAGCCCGGAATGTATTGATAAATGCAAATAAATCTACATTTCACGAGCGAAAACGTCAACAGTGCAGAGTGAGACGTGCTTGTCGTGGTTCAGACAGAATCACCAGCACTGAGGCACGATGGATTTTCTGCTCTATATTTACACACATTGACGTTTTTTTGTAGCAAAGATAGTTCCGTACGTACAGTATATTACGTAAGAATAGAAATACGTTTTTGAACCGGCTGCTTTCATGTCTTATATAATACCTTCTGTATTCTCTCCAGCGCACTCGCTCAGTCTAGTTTTACTCGCTCTATAATACTCCTCACTGTTCTCTCCAGCTACTCTTCTTACAGGTCCTGTATTACCGTATTTTTCAGACTATAATGTGCACTTCAAATCTTTTAATTTTCTCAAAAATTTACAGCGCGCCTTATTAATTCTGGTTGTGCTTAGTGACCTCGAACCGATTTTATGTGGAACACAGAGCTCAAAAATCTGTCAAAATGTTTTAGTGCGACTTTATTAAACTACGAAGCCGCACCACTTGATGGGTTCATTCACTCTACTTCGTATTCGAGTCGTTTTCGTTGTGGGTACGGTTTTCGTTCACACTAATCCGATGGAAAACGGCTCCAGAGACGGAACGATCTGGTGCCGCCAGAGTACAGATCTGATCCTTGACTGTGTGGACGCCTGAAAATGTTGATACTCTGATGTAGGAACTCTAGTCGCGTCCTTATTGGACCACGTCACTGTGACTTGCACCTTCCTGATTCGCCGAGTTCGTGACATCGGTCATGTGACGCTATTGCGGAAAACAGTTTAAACAAACCAGAGACAAACTGCGGAGCTAAAACTACTAACACAGAACAGACTCACCATCATCAGAACATCCCTGTGTCACAGAAAGAACACTCATATTCCACTGAGTCGTGTCCTTTAGTCCGACAGAAGCTGAACCGTGTCAGGGCACAAGGAGCGAGCTGTTTTTGAGCTCTTAGAAAATGAGCCATGTGGTTTTAAGTTTCTTTTCTGTAAAACGTAAACAAATAGGGGCAGAGCTGTGTGGACAGGGAAGGATTGTGTCTGGACGTGTGAAGAATCCCTCAGTCGTCCAGGTAGAATCCATGGCGAGGAGAAAACTGGACAAAAGTCGACTGGACAAAAAGTTTGTTTGGTCGAAGACGTTTCGCAGCTCGTCCAAGCTGCTTCTTCAGCTCTGGTCAGACGCTGGTGGACACTTCCTTATATCTGTCAGACAGATATATTCTGACTCAGAACTGAAGAAGCAGCTTGGATGAGCTGCGAAACGTATTCAAACAAACTAACTTTTGTACAGTCGACAAACAGATTTTTTCTCCTCACGACATGTCTGGATGCAAATCGTTTCGGATACAGTGAGTGCGTATACATGCACATCAATAACCCGGTTATTAGCCATATCCCGGTTCTGTCAGTATTCGTGTTACTGTGTTTACATGCGCACTGAGAAACCGGGACACTCATATCCACGTGTACATGATCAAATGGAGTATCCCGGTTTCTTGACATAATCTTACAAATGCGCAGGCGCAAAAATTAACTTAAATCAATTTCATAAACCAGGAAAAATACAAACCGTGAGCTCCTTTAGCATAAGAAGCTAAGGAGCTACGAGATCTCCCACAATCCACTGTGCAGATTCTTCATTAAAATCTTCTGCATAAATAAACTCAACTTTACAACATATAAACCATAAACACTATAGACACATCAGCCCGTTTGATCAGATCATTCAGCTATGATCACATTTGTTTACATTTTACAGAAACAAAAACTTAAGACCGTTTGGCTAATTAGCATAAACTGTTAGCGGCGATAAAAACAACTCGCTCCTTGCGCCACTGATGTGATCAGTTTCTTTTGGACTAAATGACACGACTCTGTGGATTATGTGTGTTATTTCTGTGACAGAAGAGGCGCTAATGATGGTAAGTGTGTTTCGTGCGTATAGAGTATAGGAGATAGTTCATGTTTTAGTTTTCAGTGCAGATTGTACGTGTGCAGATTGTACATGTGCAGGTTTAGCGCAGCTCTTTATTTTACAGTCATTTCACTCGTTTGGTCACTTTATTTATGTTGGTCAATTTATTTATGTCACTACTGTTGTGGTGAAAGGCTGGAAAGTGTCTTTTGGACGCATGCGCACTCAACTTTATGTTGCAGTAACCGGGATACTGCGTTTACATGCCACAAGTAACCCGGTTATTATCGGAATAAACCAGCTACAGTAACCCGGTTTCTAATAACCGGGATACTGAAACCGGGTTACTGCGTTTACATGCACCATCAAGAAACCGGGATACTCAAAAAACCCGATCATAACCGGGTTATTGATGTACATGTATACGCACTCAGTGATACGGTGTGATGTGATTCGTTTCAGTGTAAACATAACCTTAGTCCGACAGTCTTGTGGTTTTAAGTTTGGTTTCTGTAAAACAAACAAATGTGCTCAAAGCTGCACTAAACACATTATTACTCAATGTATATCTGAGTCGTCCTCGTAGGAAATAAAAAAACAAACTTAAATGATCCACATTCACATTCATAATCCACATTCACCAAGACATCGAGGCGACGCCGGGCGAATGACACCACGATCTGCCGATGGATCGTGGACGCCTGGACTAAGGATCAGACTCAAGTGTCGTCTGTTTGTTTCGCTTAACGGACTTTATAAAGCAGTGCACTTTCTGGGATGTAACAATAACTGAAATATCGTAATGTCGTATCGTTAAAAGTTCTCACAATAACATCGTGGACCATCACAATATGTCAAATTACAAGTCTTTTTGCTTAAATGAAGAGTCACGGTGCAGCAATAGCTAAAAAAAAAAAGATTCTTTGCTCCATTTCAGTGCAGACGACAAGAAGAAATAACAGTTCTAACACTTTTAAATCTTAGTTCTTTGGATTAAATCTTGTCAAGGCATTTTAAGAGGAAAAAGTAGCATATTAACAATTTTTTGTCTCCTCAAAATATCGCAATAAATATCACCATGAGATGTACATCGTGAAAACATCATACCGAGAGATTTGGATATTGTTACATCTCTAGTGAACCTCCCCACCATATCGCAAGAAATATCGTACCACGAGGTTCATACCGTGACGATATCGTGTCATGAGACTTGGATATTGTTACACTTCTACCTTCTGTATGAAAATGAACGAGAGAATTCAACTTTATTGATATTGCGCCTTATATTCCGAAAAATACGGTACACAAAAAGGGACTCTTGTGAGCTTTTTTTGTCTGAAATGTTTCACAATATGATATTAAATTTTTTTATCATCATGGAAACCAAACAAGGCCAAGTTACAGGTCAGATCTGTGGAGAGACAATCAAACCCACTGTCAGAATCTTGTATTTTTAAGTATTTTTGAGCTGTAAAACCACCTGTAACTGAATAAATAGAAGTAATGACCAACCAAAAAGTTACACAATGCACCTTTAAAGGTTGTATAGAGGATTTTCCAAGGAACGAGAAATCCAGCGACTGTTTGTCCTTTTTCAAATGTTGCGCATGCGTGAAACCACCCCCCCTCCCCTACAGCTCCTACGTAGAAACACCTCCTCCTCCTTACGCCAGAAACAGGTTTGTTTACAGCCGGTGCACATGACTTGTAAACAACTAACTACAGTGTTGGTTAGGCAAGACGGAGGAGCGGGGGGGAGGGGGGGGTGCGGACATTTCGTTCGCGGACGAGAAGTGAGGAGCAGGAAGAAGAGCGGAGCAGGAGAGAGGGGAGAGAGAGGAGAAAGGAGAGGGGAGAGGGGAGCGGTGCGCGGAGATTCCGTGCCCGGAGAAGTGAGGAGCAGGGGGAAGAGCGGATCGGGCAGCGGGGACAGGAGCAGGAAAGGGGTGCAGAGAAGGTTGCGCGGAGATTCCGTGCGAATGAACTAGCTACAAACACGCAGCAGCAAGCGGACTCTTTCTTTGCCTTGAAAATTACGTTTTCAGACATAGGATATCGCTTTCGTGTCCTGAAAAACGTTTGTGTAGCTCTTGGAAATAAAGTACGTTTTTATAATAAGCAGAAGTTTCTTGTCCAGGAGTAATTTGTGGACCAGTGCGTCAGTCTTTAGACCCTTCGTCTGCTTCAGTCGCTCCATCGCTGGAATGAATCTATAAGAATCACCTTAGTTTGGCTTCGCTGCTTTTCCCCTTGTCTTCTTCTTTCAGCGACCTCAAAAACGGACTTTCTTTTGCGGCGAACTGCTCCTGGATTCTTGTCGCCATTGCAACAAACTTTGTGCGAACTGCGAGGAAGATATAGGTCAAAAAAAGCCACTAAGAACTGTTGCGTTGGTGGAGTAAACAGCGTCTGTGCGTCTTGCGTCTGTGGACTGCGTGACAGTCGTACGTAAACCACGTACCGGCGGCGCAGGCAAGTCAGTTACACTAGAAACGTAGGGAGTTTGATTGACAGCCTGTCAGCTCACAGATAACGAGGCAGTGTCGTTATCTATTGGCAAATGTTTAGCCCCACCACGTCCAGAGTTGATGCATTTTTATTCTCTTTTTTTTGGTCATCATAATTACAAGGCTACTGCATCTATAATCTATCACTGACAATTTGAAACAAAAAAAAAAAAAAAAAAAATCCTCCATACAACCTTTAAGCCATGTTATGATGTTATTACCTCTTGAAAAACAGACCTGGAGTTGGGTTTTGTTTGATTTACACACCTTCAAAGCTCCAAATGTTTGTGATGACGAAACAACATTAGAACAGAAAACAGCAGAACATCGACCCTTTAAAGCTCTGTCTCTGTGTTCCGTCTCCATGGCGACGTCCCTCTCTTTAAACCTGATGCCCCGCCGTGCCTGACGTGCTCCGCGTGCGTTCTTGTGCTTCGCAGGAGTTCTCGCTGCCCTCCATCGTTCTGTTCGAGCGCTGCGGCCTGAAGGGGAAGCGTCTGGTGCTGAGCGACGGCGAGGTGAACCTGCTGATGAGCGGAGGAGGGGGGCGGGTGCAGTCTGTGCTGGTGGAGGGAGGCATGTGAGTACAGATTATGTATTTTTCTACTGTGGTCGACTTACATGTGTGTATGGTTTATATTCAGAACACTTCATTTCTTCTGTGTGTGTGTCTAATGGAAAAATTGTTCTACACTTGGCCCATTCATGAGTAACGTGAGTCAGTACGGTCATTTTCTTTGTGTTTTGGTCGTTTTTATGCAGCTTTTCTGTATTTGTACATAAAAAAAATCACAATCTATGCCTCATTTTACTGTTTTCAGGCATCCAATTGGTCCAAAATAGAGAAACATGGGACATTTCTTGTGTAAAACTACGACTTTTTTAGTTTTTTTTTTTGGTGAAATGTGAAATGTTTTCGTAATTAAGTAAAAAATTGGTCCATTCGTGACAAACAGTTCAGTCTAGTCACATTTTCTTTGTGTTTTGGTCGTTTTTATGCAGCTTTTCTGTATTTGTACATAAAAAAAATCACAATCTGTGCCTCATTTTACTGTTTTCAGGCATCCAATTGGTCCAAAATAGAGAAACATGGGACATTTCTTGTGTAAAACTACGACTTTTTTAGTTTTTTTTTTGGTGAAATGTGAAATGTTTTCGTAATTAAGTAAAAAATTGGTCCATTCGTGACAAACAGTTCAGTCTAGTCACATTTTCTTTGTGTTTTGATCGTTTTTAAGTTGTTTGGGCTCAAAACTGGGACTGGTTACTTCCGGTGCCAGCGTGAGCAGTCGCTGTTGAGCTCCGTTAGTCAGAGTAATAATCCTCAAATAAAACTGCAGTATGTGTGAATACAGTGACTACACCTGACTGTGTTATTGTGAAGAGACTCTTGATTGATCGTTCAGTGCTGCTGGGCGACTCGGCTCCAGAGTGTGAGTCTGAGTCTCTGTGCTTCTATTCACCTTTTTGGCTAAAAATATATTGTGTGAATGCCACAATTTTGATAAGAAGGTTTGAAATAACAGTGGGTCTCATTTGTGAAACGTTCTTACAAACAAATTCATGAACATTTTTGGCATTTACAAAACTTTTTCTTAACTGAAAATGTTGTTGTGGAAGACGAAGCATCAGCAGCACCTGTAAGAACAAAAATTCTACAGTTTGAGAATATTATCACTCTGATAATGCAACAAAAAATTCTAATTCCTCCATGATTGTAACTTATATATTTTCTAAAATTATTTCCTATAAACATATGACTGTGTGATCCAGTAACATTTATGAGGCATTTTAGAGCATGTGTCTATAGGCGAGTTTCAGCTGACGTCATTGTTATTAAAAGCCCGCGTTGCTGCTGGGAAATATTTTGGTCGGAGGCAAGAAACACGATAGCGTCAAACACAGTGCGTAACCTCGCGTATTTCTCCCTGATAATGGTCAATTCCTGCTGCATTATCGGACGCACAAATGAAGCACGGAAGAAGGAAAATAAATGTCTTTTTCGTATTCTGAGTGAAAAGAACCACTGTCGGTGAATTAAACGTCTTTCAAACATCCGCAGAGCAAACGTAGAAGATCCTAACAAACCGTGGACTCCAACAAGTTCAACAACACATCCAGACTCTTGGAGGTTTTCATCTTTTCTGCTGTGAATGGCCCAGGAGTTTCCACCAAGTCATTGTGGATATCGCCCAAGTGAATATTTGTCCAGGTAGTTGGAGATTCTGACCAGAAATTTGGTTTGGTCCAGACTCTGTCGGGGTTGAAAAGGGTGATTTGTCGTCCGTCGATGCTTATGACCAATTTCTGGTCAAATGGTCTTGGGTCCTCTGCCGTTAGACTGGATAAATAACCTGGATCAATACCCTTTACGTGCTTTCTCGCTCCGTCCGTCATGTTGAATTGGTGTTTCTTGCCGCCGACCAAAATAATTCCCATCATGCAACGCGCGCTTTTGTCAACGATGAAACTCGGCTATTGGGACAAACTAACAGAGTTTAGTTTGACCCAATAGACAATGGACTAACTTTGTCCAGGCTGCAGTGAGCCTCAGTCTGTCCCAGCCCCAGTGCCTCCATGTGTGCGTCTGTCACGGCCCTGAGTCTGGTCACGGCGCTGGACTCAACACCAACACCACCCCCGTGCCCCTCCCATGACCAGAGCTCACTTTCATGCTCCCCCAGCCCAGCCCACCTCCCTCGCTGTTCACCGCGGGTCTGCCATCACTGAAAGCCCGATAAATACGAGCTTTCTGTGATGGCCTTACTTCCAGCTTCCACATTTCAGACAAAAAGCAAATAATCCTGTCCGACTCTGACTATAATAATATTAGTCCATAAATACTCTGCGTGTCAGTCTGATCTGATCATTATTTATGACAGAATCGGGGTGTAACGGTACAAAAAAAATCACGGTTCGGTTCGGACCTCGGTTTTAAGGTCAATTTGGGAACAAAATCCAAAACCATTTGCTTGTTGTTTATTTGTGTTTTCATTAAACCAACAATTTGTTTTAACATTTTACACACAGGGAAATAAAATAAATGCAAAATGCTGCTTAGTTATAGAATAGAAAGCTCGAGATATAAGCCCTTGCTTATTTCAATAAGTTTATGACTCAAATATTCCCTCTCTGGGTGTGTTCATGCGAGTTTGGACATTTGAAATCATCGCTGAAGCCGTAAAACTGCCGTAGTCTGTAGACGAACTCCACCTGACCTTCTCGTTCAGTCTCTCCAAACCCATACTGGCCATATTTGAAAGTTCAGAGCGCGTTTCTAACCAAATACGTATTAATTTTCTATGTAAATGAGCGTGGAGGTGTTTGTAGTTGGACGTTGGTGAAGAAGGAATTCGACTGCTTTGTGAATCTGGCTCAGACTTCTCTTCTTAAAGTGGAAGTTACGAACATTTTTAATAAAGAAAAGATTCATGAATGAGTGTACAAGATTGTGTCATAAGTGCGGCCTCGGTGTTCTGTTCTGACTCCCTCCCGCTCCGCAACAGAACGTCTAAATATGCGCCGGATTTGTCTCTAAACTTTGGGGCATAAACCTCTGAAGTTTATGGAAAAACTTTACAAACGCCAAAGTTTTCCTCCTCCAACAGAAGCAGCCTCTCTGTGGGATGTACCATGGGTTCTTCTCCAGCAGAGCACGAGAAAGAAAGAGAGCGGAGAGAGAGATGAGAGACATAAAGAGAGTTTGGGGCTGTAGGATGTGCTTCTCCAACAGAGCAGAGGAGAGAAGAGAAGGAGAAAGAGAGAATGAGTCGCGCTTGTGTCTGCGCTGTTGTCTCCTGTGGATCATTACGTTACAATTTTGACATTTTAATTCGTAATATTCACCTAAAAGAACTTAATAAAAGACTCCAGGGCGCTGACTATCGCGTTAGGAAACTGTGGCGCCCGGTGGGAGCTGACGTGGCCGTGAACGTCGTCAGAACAAAGCGCCGCAGGCTGTGGGCTCCTCCTGTGTACAGCTGCACGTCACACTAGAGCAGAGCATAATTTGGACCAAAACGATGACGCGACGCTGCCCGATCTTACAAGTATCACCCTTTAAGAAAATCGAACTGGAGAAGGAAGTGCGGACGTCACAGTTGGAGTCTATCGCTGGAAACAGGTCGATCAGCAAAATGGCGTCTTGGAAATAAGAGATTAAAGATGATTCAAACATGCACGAATCACTCCAAATACAACTACAGAAATATACAGGGTTCCCGTGGTCATGGAAAGCCTGGAATTTTGTAAATTCAATGAAAGTTTTAGTGTTTCTTTCACGTAACTCTTTCGTTCTGTTAAGTTCTCATGAGGCTGTTCTGATTATTTCCAAACGTCTGCGCCTTTTGTTTAAAAGAGACGACAATAAATGCACTGACAGGATTTTGAATGTTAAAAACCAAACCATAAGGTGAGAGGAAAGGGTTAATATTTTATATTTAGCCCTGAAGGTGTGATCAATTCTACACATGCAGATGCCGTAAAGTCATGGAAAATTCACTTTAGACCAAGAGAGTCAAACTCAAATTCACAGAGGTCAAAATTAAAAACTGGGACTAAGTCGTGGTTCAAACTAAATATTTATTGAAAAATTTCAACAACATCTGCATGTTTTCTCTTCTTTCGAGATATGTAATTAGTGCTGTCATGCGATTAAAAAAATTTAGAGATTAATTAATTATGATCTGTAATTAATTAATCTAATTAATCTCATTTTAATCTCACCTAAAAATTGCTGAGAAAAGCTTCAATTTGAGGTATTTTCATTTAAATTCATTATTACATTATTGTGGCAGATCAAAAGACTCATATAGATTTAAAAAAGTGACTTTATAAAGTCATTTATTGTTTAACAAATCTCTCCAAATTGGCTGTTGAGCCCAAGTCTCCATGAATAAGAAACTGTTTGCTGTAAAGTAACAAAGACGAGGAAATCTGAACATAATAACTTTTGTCGACTTAAAGACAATAAAAAGTCCAGTCTTTCCTTAACCATATTAAAAATATTATTGATAGAGAAATGCTTTATATATGAGATCACTGGTTTTAGTCCTTCTTTTAGTCCTGGTTTAGACCTACTTTAGTCCTACTTTAGTCCTAGTTTAGTCCTGGAATGGATTAATCCTGGTTTTAGTCTTGGTGTTAGTTCTGGTTTACGCCGCGTAGCGAGAAAACACGATCCACACGCGGCTCACGGGAGCAGGTCGGTGTCCGCGCAGTAACTACGGAAGGAAACGTGGTCCGCGCGTTCTCAGGTTAATGACGATGATGAAGGTGTGTGTTTGTGTTTGTGTGTGTTTGTGTGTGTGTGTGTGCGTGTGTGTGTTGGTGTGTGTATAGGACAGTAGTGCAGACATCATGAGTCCTATGCAGGTTGTTTTCAGGCGATATTATATTTGTTATTTTCTTTTATATTTTCACGTCGGGAGAATAATTTCCAAGACACGAATGTGTTTTTACCTGTGCACTGCTGCTCTGTTTCTACTGGCTCTTCGACCTCGTCCATTGTGCGACTGACGCCGTAAACGTCGCTCTTACTGCGCGCGTTCTGTGTGGGTTTCCGACAATGAGTGGAATTGC